TGGACCATGTGGCAGTGGAGAGCTCCGATACAAGTGTGTTTCTTTGTACTATGGAGTACTCCACTAAACTTTAATCAAGGACGGACAGGTGTATCTGTTCGCCCTCCCTCAGAAACACGTCATTGATGCGAAGGCATTTAGTTAAACACCTGTAAAGTGTCTTTGCAGCCCAACACTGCCGAGTTAGGTTGGCCGAGAGCCTCCCAGAACTCTATAATGGCATAATGGTTATTTACATGACGACTGAATAAAGGTGAAATAAGCAGTGTTCACCACATTTGAAACCGTTTGCCATAAGTATATCCAATGAAAATTGGATATCGTTGCGGTCAACAGATCTGACCAAAGCTGGGAAAGCTGTACCAGCATAAAACGACTATGATGGTGCGCGCAGATCCCTAAACACCGAATAACTCAAGAGTCTGTGGATCTATAGACAACAGTTGTCGGTTGCGAAAGCCCTAGAAATTGAGGTCTTTGCATCTTAGAATGACCACACCCTGCTTTGGATAGTCCGATCAGCTGGTCCGGGGAGGGTAACGACCTCCGAGAAATACGGGACTTCAGCTCATTCACGGAAACATTGTCTTGATTTGTGACATGAAAATTTTGAAGAACAATTCAGTGGGCTCCCATCAACTAACCCTAGGAAGTGCCAAATAAACCAGAGTGGATACCAGTCCGCCATTGTTGACGGAAGTCCAGGGTGCAGTTTTATTGCTTCGTGCAACAAAACACCTGGTTCAGGTGGTCTGTATCCTGCGCTGTTGAAAGAAGACGGTGGGTCTCTTGTGGATATACCGACGACTTTACTAAAAAGTATGTGGAGTGAGAAAAGAATGACAACAGGAAAGGAACGCCCCGAAGGTGCTTCTATGATTAAAAAAAGTTGCAAGGGTGTTGTGCCAAAATCACTGGGGTATCAGTCTACTGGCGGTAGCTTCCAAGGCGAAGATTTCTCCGTGATCGGGACAGTCAGACTCAGAACCAAGCTGAGTTCCACCAGGGCCGGGATTATATTAGTCATGTCTTTGCTTTGTGACAATTACTGGAACACTATTAGTAATGGAGGTCTTTCTGGATCTCAAATCTGTTTTCGACTCCGTTGACCATGAGAAACCATGGCCGCAGCTAGCGATGAAGAGTGTACCTCCTAAATTCTTGTCCCTTATAAAGGCTCTGTTCACCGCATCCCGTGAACGGATACGCGTCCACAATAACTCCTGTCCTGGTGTCACCCAAGAATAACCTCTGGGCCCTTTCGCTTCAACTGCGCAATTGATATTCTGCTTGAGTCTTCTCCACTCACCTGTGACACCATGGGAGTCGAATTACTCCCAGGACATTCGCTTACGAACACTGAGTGTGCCACCAATCATACAGCTTTCTTTCGTTCAGACCCTCTAGAAATACAAAGTATTTCAAATATCCTAAGTAATCCTGTTACACACTGCGGTCCAGGCTTCGCACCTGTAAAGTGTAGAGAGCTGCTGTAAGACTAGGTGAGATCGACCACAAATCTCATGCTTGCAGGGGAACCAATCAATGTATTAGATAAGTTAATCTAGCCGGACAGCTGCATGAGTCTCGGCGGACTGGCGAAAGACGAAATCACTTCCCGAATTGAGAAGGCCAATACCGCATCTGTTAACCCCCGACTTTCGCGGCACTGACGTTAGGTGTGCTTGACTGTCAAGGGTAGGGTGCATAATACCGTGGTCCGATCTGTCCAAGTTTGTGGATCGGAGAAGTGGGCGCTGTGTGTGGGAGACTTTTAAAGTTTGTCTGTGCCACCGAAGCATCGTGTGGGAATGTCAAACCAGCAATACAGAAGTGAACCGAATGGCTTTCGGGAAAGTTCACTCTCCCTTCATAGATCAGTTGGTCACGACTCATGAGTGACGCGGGTTAGGCCATTTCCTTCGTCTGTTAGATGACCGTTTGTCTCGTGCAGCCCTGTTCGCCCAGCCTCATGTCGGATTATAACGACTGCGATCTGTCCATGAACCATCCGGTTGAGAAGCCGTTGTCAGTCAAGTCAGTCGCGTTGATGACTGCCGTCTCCCCGGTTAGGGACCGCCGGACTGGACTAATCAACGGTCAATGACCCTGAGAAATGTGGCTGTCAGGCAACCAATGACGTTCTTGCATCAAAGCTACCACCAACCATCCTTGGTAAAGAACACCGTAGCAGCTGGAACCACTACACTTCAGGGCACGGTTTGCGATCTGAACTGAACTGAGAAGCGTGTAGAAGGTAGATTGCTGACACCAACCGGTTTGTGGAAAGCGGAATTCTATTTCTAGCCATAACTGTAGCAGAGAATGCTATACCCATGAGGTGCATTTTTACGAAACACTGCTGATATGTTTTCCGAGAAAACCCCTCCAGCCTATTACCGGTTTCCTCCTTCTTGAGGTGATCAGGAGGACGCAGCTCAGAGTTTCCACAAGCCTTATTCCTTATTACATAATTACATGTATTTGAAACCTGACTAAAAATCTCCTGAAGCCTTGCCAAGCCTTGTATCATGCAGATACCAAATATAGGTAGGACTTTTCCATAAGAACTCGAAACAGAACATCTTCGAACCCCTGAAATGCTTCAATCGGTGAATTAGGCCCAGATTACCTTGTGTTTTCCCATCGAACTTTCCAACTGCAGTTCGTCCGTCTAGATCATGTCGTGGCTACCACCTGGATCGGAGCAGTTGGATTGAAGCACATGATGGGCATGCTTTGTTACAGTTCAATGACCGTAAGTTGAAAATATCGATTTTATTGTGTGAAGTTGTCATAGAAATCCCTGCTCACAATGGAGGGATAACATAAATTACCAAGAGCACATTCAGATCCCCCTATGGACGTACATTCCATTCCACTTTCATGTTCATGCTAAATATGAACAGCTCTTAAGAATGTTTTGGGAAACAGAGTGAGTCTTTGGACTAGTCGTTAGTCGACAATCCATGCAAACGATTTCAAAAGAATGCGCTGTGCAAAGGCTACTTCTGGTTTCAGAATGCTACACTTAGTGGTTGCTGACTGTTGTATCGTGAGGTGGCCGAGCTATTGGGTTACGCCTGCAATGAGCCTGCCAGACTACGCGATAGGGAGAAGACAGAGAACTGGGGACACGGCTGTATTGCCAGGACAAAACGTACAGAGCGTCTGCGTAAATATATAGGACGACTACTTGGCCAAATATGGTCGTTCACTTGTTCGCTCCGTACAGCCAATGGTGGTGTTTCGGTCGTGAACATTCTCAGGCCTACTACTCTGGTCGTGTGTTGCTAAGCCGTTTGGTGAGAGCCGTCAACTCACCTACTTTCCGGACGTGTCGAACCGATGATGACCTTGGGGATGCGTCACTCTCAGCATATGTACTTTTTCTTCTGTCTGGGCGCGCCCTGACACTGACTTTTGCGAAATTTGGAGAAACTTGTTAGGAGGTTGTTCAACCTTAACATACGATCAGTTTTTATGCATTCCTTGGTTGCTAATCGGAAAAACTTTCTGTGAAGGCAACCTAATACGACTTCTTGACCCTCACTTACATACAATACATCCAAACAGGCGACGAAATGAGGTATTCCCTCGTTAGGGTATTGCTCCGCGTTGGAAAATATTGTTGTGGGTTCTATGTCGTATAATATCAGTTTGCGTGACCTCCCAATGTGGGCTGTCCCGAATAAGCCCTGAAATATTCGTGGGATAAATGAACCAGCCGCGTCTACTGGGACACGGAAAACCGAGGTGTCGGAAGGCTGGGTTCAACTCGAAAACAGTTAGCAAATGACTCATTTGAGAACGTCATTGACGAGAACGAATCAAAGATGAATCGGCTTGTAACTTATAGTGACCATATAGTGGCTTTTCTTCGGAAGGAATCCTATTTGGAAAGAAGCTATCGATTGACAGAATGGTCTTTTTCTATCCTAATTTTTTAAACGATCGAATGCCTCACAAAGAGAATACCTTGGCAGAAGACCCAGTCAAAAATCGATTTATTCAAATGGTTCTCACTATACTTTCTTAAAGTAATTCACCAGAAGACAATTATCACGGTCTGAATACACCGCAGTGGTCCCATTTTTCACCTGATCAATAGGTGTGATTGGTTTTGATCCAACAACTAACACTGAATGTAACGGATACCCGTAGTTGACCGGAGTGAACCAATGATAGACAGTGAGTTACAAGTTAGAACCGAGATGTGCCGTTTGCACCACTCTTTTCTTAGAAAAAAACCCCGTAGAATACTTATGAGCATCTATTTCGATCATTTGCTCATACTTGCTCCGTTTTGGTGAGTTCTATTCAACCACACGAAAGGGTCAGCTGGTTAAATGACTAGCACACGAAACGTGGGATATCAAATATTGGCAACTTTTTGGTGTCACGCAATATGGCGACACCAACATGCGGTATATCTTCGTAGTGTCATTTGTTGCATGCTCCCACGAATTCGTCCGTCTACCCGAACGGTTATAGTGATGGACATGAAACAAACGAAATTACACAGCCAAGGCAATGTGGCGTGTGAGAAGGCTGGTATTCGAATCGTCTTCGTCGATCGATTGAAGCGAGTTCGATCGATAAAGTTCGATCAAACTTGGATGTGTTGTTGAGTTTTTTTTAAAACGCCTCATGCTAAAGTAGAAAAATTCTCCCTTGCAGAAAAATCCTTGCTCCATTTTGTCTCGTCTTAGGGATGTTTTTTTATGGCAGCAGTCATTCGTCCGCTGGAAAGTGGTCTGCGCGGCTGCTGCTTGCAACTCGTCTGGTGGGGTTGTGCCGGTTGACCTCTACTTTCCTTTCCACTGAACGAATATGTTCGGCGAGCGGTGCCCTGTAGATTTGGTGAGGTGAAACCGTCAGCCATGAGGCAGAACGATCAATGGCTCGTTCAACCAATAGGGTCATAGTCAACCATAATAAACCTCCAATCACAAGCATTGTGTGTATGTATCCTAAGCAAGCGTGATAGCGTTGCTGGTATGAATGCGTCTGAACACGCGTCGACCGAAAACGTGTTGCCGTTTGTCGTGTGCGCTGTCTGCATAAGTCGCGTCTTGGTCGTGTGGGCTGGTGGATTAATGGCCCACGTGTCCTGTTCGCGCTATACTGAGGTGATTGATTTGTCGGGTACCAATACAATCCGAAACGCGTCTTTCACCATACAGCCCCATGAACGACTGGTTGTTGATGTCAACCTGGAAACGCAACTTCGTTCCCCGTGCTCTATTTCTCCAACGTTTAGCATCGCAGATATACTGGCACCACCCTTTGACGTGCACCGAGCTACTCGAGTAGATGAATGCCTCAGTCCGAAGTCTCCAGACGAGGCGAAGCCATTGTTGGCGTCTGGAACAGCTACCCCGGCGGGTGAGTCTTCCGATTCCCCTGGTCTTGGCAGTATTTCTTTCAGCGGTGACAAAAAAATGCCATCCGCGTGCTGACTGGCTGCTGTCAAATGAATTGCAAGTCGAAGATGAAAACTGAATAAAATAAAGTAGATCGTACTGTAGTGTACTCTCACAGCTGAGTTTTAGCTGAAGCGAAACGATCGACCGATGGAGGGGACGAGTTAACGAATTTGAAAATAGTTTACTATTATTCTTTTATGCCACTGACGGTATCTGACTTCTCTGAACGGGTGGAGTTACTGATTGCACAGTAGCCGTAAGGTCCACGACTTCCGAATTATTTTTCTGTTCAAATAGCCCCCCCCCCTCAGTTCGACTTGAGTTACTCTCGTGTCATCTTTTTCATCTACCTCATCTCATTTATACCTCAGTCCCCGGTCCAGTTGAATGGATCACCCAAATACCACGCTTCCTCTCTTGTAATTTTCTTCGGCCTAGCTAAGTAAAATCCACTACATTTTGAGAGAATTTAGAACGACCATTGGGGTACGCCACAATCACAAGTAGACGGATATAGTGACCCTTAGTAATGGCGTGCAGCTGATAAGCTATTTGTACGAAAACACCTGTATAGGGGTTTCTGTGTATATCTCATGCAGATATTACAAGAAGGGAGCACACCTGAAGGAAACACGAGGGCTGGGATACTGTAAGGTTGCCCAAGCCTAGACAGGGGAAGTCGAGAGGCAGAGGTCGGGTTAGAACCACGGACCTTCTGGTCAGTACATTCGCGCTCTAACCACTTGAGCCATCTCACACCCGACTATTATAAGAGAGCTAGGATAAATGAACTGGAAATCCTTCATGGCCTTCTAAGAACTCTATGAATCGAAAGCATGCACTGGAGTGCAATATAGACGTTTTTATAGATCGCTGATGTAGTTCTAGGAGACGGAATCTCAGTCAGCCTCTTCACCACTGCAAGGAGACTGAGGAACACGTAAACATATGGATTAATCCTCAGTCGAACTGATACCTTGTTAACGGTACTGAAAGAGAGTAACCGTCTTCGTTGTTGGAAACGGTAGGTTTCAAAAGTTTTCCGAAAACGAAAGCTTTCCAATCGATTCCAAGCGTTTTCCAGAAAACTGCCTTGTCAGAAAAGCGTGTCTGATGCGTTAGAGTTCGAACGGAGCAAACTTTGAAATTAGGGATTATAGTGATTTCCATCTCGATGGTCTTGTGGTTGGGACTGGTTTTCATGCAGTCGTTATGAACAGTTCTGTATAAATTAATCGTAGTGTGAAGAGAGTTAATAATTCTCAGCTGAGAGATAATCACACCACTGTTCAGTAGCTCGCGACCAAATGTTCAAGTGTTCAGCCGCTGTTCGGAAGCTCGCAGGTTCGAAACTCTGAGTTCCGTGAGCTAGGCACTGTTGGCGGTTCCCAATAAGGATGAAATGGCTGTACAGTGCTTCTCGGCTTTTCAACATATATTGGCCTCACTGATAAAACGAAGGCTCAGTTGAATGGTTTCAAATGAACTTAGAAATGAGATTTTCCTTTATATGAAGACACTCAAGGTCGTTGCAAACTCTGAACAGTCTGCTACACGTTCCACTCCTCTTGGGGCACATCAGGTAGGCCTAGACACCGAATTTTTATCAGTCTTAATCCTTACCGGAATATCAATGTGAACGTATAGATCGGCAAACACTCATTTGTAAATTCACTTGATTTTGACATAGGATTATCCGGAAAGTGTCGGAACTTCCACAGACAGCATCCCTTCTAAAATATTCTTGTTTAAGGAACGAAGGATGAATAAAAAGACTAGATAACTTTAGGAGGCCTATCTTAGGATGCGTGTGAATTTACCTACAGCCTTGGTACGCAGGTGATTTAAGGTTCCGTAGAAGAGAAACACCGGGAAATGTGCTGACTTAAGATAACTGGTCTTCAATCAGCTGTGATGGTGCCTTGGCTTTATTATCAACTCTCCCTCAGAAATGGACGATATTCAAATCGCTGCAACAATTTGGATAGTTGCACCGTGCAAAATACTGTTTGTCGCTTTCGGTTTGTTTTGTCACAGCCACTGAAAGCATTTGGTCCACAAGTAGACCGGTCAAAAACCTCTTGGATCCCAAAGTGGTTAGCCAGCGAGATCTCGTTTGCTGTCAGCCCAACAGGTTACACTTTACCTTCTTCAGTTGTCCGCTGTGGAGGGATAACATTGAAAGACCGATCAGTGGTGGTTTCCTCCAATGGCTGGGTCTTTCAGAGGGCGAGCACTGCATCACCGAATTTCACGCCCCACAAGAAGTGATCATTTGAAGAATCAATGTGTGTACTAATCCCGTGAGTTACTGCCTTACTCTCAAAGGAAGTCCTCCAGCTTCTTATCATCGAATTTCACGTCCCACACGAAGTGATCATTTGAAGAATCAATGTGTTTACTAATCCCGTGAGTTACTGTCTTACTCTCAAAGGAAGTCCTCCAGCTTCTAAACAGGATTATGGTTCGCGTATTATAACACGTGTGTTCTGGGAATTCGTGAGCAAATCTGCACTGTTCCCAACTGTATTCGAATAGGGCTCTACCTACCTACCTGGCTATCATAGAGAACACCTGCTATACCAGAGCAAACAAAACAGTGGCCAAACATCAGAGAGGAAATATTCGTGCTAGAACAGGCCGGTACCTTATCTGTAGGCAGAATCACCAACCTCAGGAGTTTGAAGGCCTCAAGAAAAACCGTAGGGCTACCGAGAAGAAAGGATTAAACTAGTTTATTATGACCGTCTGACCGCGAACGAATAAGACTTAACGTAGAAGGGGTTTGGTACATTTTATGAGCATAATGAAATAATTCGGTTTGGCCCCTGAATCTGAAGTAGTAGATTTACATGCTAGGCTGTAGGAAAATCGTCAAAAGAGGCTTTCCCATTTCCCAACTCTGTTTGAGCGGTGTTGATCTGTTAGAATGAGGGAGGACGTTCTTCTGTTCGCTATGATTGCATAACCCAACATCATCGGACCATGAGTATCGGTTTGGTGAAGCGAAGTTGATTGCCTCCGCCGTTTCAAGGCTTCACATGGTTACGTAACGAAAATGCAACCTGGGACACACTATAACTTGATACGAAGTGTCAGAAATAGTGGCCCAGGTTTGTCACCATGTATGCAGTACACGTAGCATACCGTGCTCACCTTGTTACTATCCTCAAGTGTGATGTTTGTTTTTATTACCAAATGAATCATCAGATGTGGTGAAGGCCGACACCCGGAATCTTTGCTCTTTAACCTTGAACTGATCGAATGACGTGTTTTTCCGCTTCCGATAGTTTTGTTTTCTAGAAAAACTTGGTTCATTAATTTCTGTATGAGGCTTCCTATTTTCCCACCAAACCTTCTCGTTCCTGAATCATACATTAACAAAAGGTACGTTTTACGTACAGTTCCACATTCCAATCTAAAACAGCTGCGAAGGCTAACGAATCCCATATGATACGATCCATTAAGTCTCGTTTCCAATAGCGTTCTTTTGTGGCTCAGACTGATCGACGTCTGGCTAACTATGGAAATAGTTCTTCCTCTTCCGAGAATTCCCTCAAATAATTTCAGTCCTTCGTGATATGAAGACGTTTGTAACTCTCTTCTTGTCGGCAGTCTATATTCGATGTTATCTGGATTCACTTTGGGCACTGGTTATTTTAGCTGTCAAGACTGTCCAAACGTCTGACATAACTTATCATCAGGATTCGTTACATTTATTTAATGATCTTGACTGTCGTGTGTGTAGGACTTCCGGTCGGATCTATCCATTTCTCACTGTTGATAGACAATCCCCTTCATCTCCATGGCGCTTCGTCCTCTGATTCGCTGTTTTCAATGACAGTTATCGAGATTTTCTTGCGCCATAACTCCTTTCCAATTTTTTCTTTCACTCCGTTTAATCTAGCCCCCTCCCAAGTATCCAAAAACCTTAACAGGAAAGACAAAAGCGATTTATTTAAACCAGGTCTATTTTTGATCTATTACTGCCAGCAAATCTATCGGTAACACTACTTAAAATCTCGCTTTAGTCAGTAGTTTGATCCATTTTTTAAAAATCGGAGTCCAAACTCTCATATATGGATGAACTTAACTGACTGGAATGAAACAAGTGCGGATTTGCTGTTTTCTCCGGCTCACTGTTCACTCAGCTTAGTTCTTAGTGAGACTTATTGGTTTGTCATAACAGAACCAAATAAGATCCTGATATTTCCCAAAGGAAACTACTCACAAGGTTGCTGAAAACTCTGACAGCTCACGAAGAGTTTTCAGCAACCTTGTGAGTAGTTTCGTTTATGAAAAATGGTCTCCATCTTAACTATATACCTCGAGACTTGAGTTTCGAGATCGTGAATGTCCGGTTTGATGACGTCTAGTTGAAGAACTTCAGAAACGAGAAATTCGTTTTAGTCTTCCGTGAAGACCAAATTAATTTGCAAATGAGTGTCTTTGTCGAAACACTGACATTTCCTTCACTCAGTGGTTCTTACCCCGTGAAACCGGGTGTACCAAAGATTTGGCCACATTTCCTTTTTTGGGTGCTTCCAGACCAACCGCCCATTTGTCTCGTTCGAACGGAAACAAATGATGATATGCAGCCTGTGCGCTGGTTGGATTTTCAGCCAGTTGTTCTGTTTTTTTTTATATATATTCTGTCTACAGTGAAATTATTTTAATTGTTCAACGATTCTCTTGTTTTCTTCATGCTAAGCGCAGCATCTCGAATCTTTTCAATTTTTCCGTGTAACTACTGTGAACCAAATACGAATACAGGGCATTCTACGAATCATTCCAGGTGAAGAGCTGAATAGCATTCATGCGAAAGTTGTAATAATCGTTCAGCTGTAACATCCTTTCGGTGTCTAGCAGTCAAGCTACCCGAGGGCTGAGATACTGCCATATTGCTCAAGTCTAGACAGAGGCAGCCGTGGGGTTCGAACCCCGGACCTTCCGGTCACAGTAGGTTCATGCCCTAACCACTGAGCTGTTTCGAGCAAATAATATCATGATTCATCGAAATGGGAAACTGCATTTTTTTACGTGTTGAGTGAGGTAGCGCTCTTTCGGTACAGTACTGTGCGGCGTATGACTATTATCCATCTCGGTAGTGAGTGCGACTTGGTTTGTTTGTGGTTTGCTCGGTAGAGCTGGTTAGCAGATCCACAAGCAAAGTGAAACTGCCGGAGGGATGCAGCGCACAAGGTGAGATGTCTGTTTTTACTCTCAAATATTCCTTCTTCCATTTTACCCCAGCCCATCGTGTGTGTTATCTCTGCAAGCCCCAACTGCAGGGCTGATTCACCCTTAGCCACAACTTTTGCTCTAGGCAATAAGCACCTTCGAATCAACTTTTACACCCTGAAAGCTGTGACCACATGCGGCTCTTGCGCGTACATTAGATACACTGTCCACACTGATGTATGTTTTCTATCAGAGACATGAGTCCACGCACGTAATGTGATTGAATCGACTACTGTCTGAAGCTCTTTCCTCTGGCGCACATCTGGTGATACGCAGGTTACTGGAGCTGACCACGCCGGCGTGAGTATTGTGTTGAACCATCGAGTGGAATTATCTTTGACGGAATGGATACCCGTTGATAGTTGTCCGTGCAACGTTTGTTTGGCAGCATCTGTTTGTGCCCCAATGACCTTCTAGGTGTTTTTTTTGTAATGGGCTAAAGGCTGGAACGTTGTTGTGATGAGCTCACCGGTGGGTAAGCTTAGCTCTGGGCAGCTATCTTGGGTTAGGCGCGGGACATACGGGGGACGGGAAGCACCTACTGCGCTGATCAAAGACTTTTGTTGCACCTTCGGGACAGCGCGAATCATTTGACCACATCGTGCCCATCCGCTAACCGGCCCCAAACCCAAATAGTCAACACTACCAACAGTTACGGGTGCCAAGCACCTTGCTTAGCCACTGGACCCATAAATCAAACAAAATAGTCATTTAGAAACGTGCAGTCTTTGAACCTTCCGCTTGCAATTCAAGGAGGTTGTGAGTAATTTTACATACGTGTTAGCTCTGACGGCAATGTCTCTGATGAAGTCAGCGCGCAAACCATGAGGGCCCGAATCGCGTTTATAATTTGTGTTGCTTTTGGTGTCAAAAAACATCGCTGGATTCCAAGGGTGCTGTGTATCAGGCTGTAGCAAGTGTGGCTGAGAAACATGGCCTCCGCATGTAGATAACCATTGCAATCTCATTGCAATCTTGCAGCTGTAACACCCTTTCCGTGCCTAGCTGCCATACCACCCGAAGGAGGTACGAGGGTTGGGAATACTGCGAAGTTGCTCAAGCCTAGACAGGGGAAGTCGAGAGGCAGAGGTCGGGTTCGAACCACGAACATTCCGATCAGTAAATTCGCGCTCTGACCAATGCGCCATCTTGCCCCCTTGCTATCTCAGAAGGTGGTATCCGAGGTCAGCGCCGGATTCGCGGAGACGTAGCTAGAGACGAGTGTTCGGTTGTGCAGCAGACACACTGGTCAATGAAAACACTCGGCTTCATCAACTGTGGTGGCTCGATCATGTACTGTACATGCCTAGTCATTCTTTACAGAGAGGATTGTTCTTTCCCATGCTTCTTTCAGATAGGCGCGAACCACGTGGTGGGTTTAGCAGAGGTCCGTGAAAGGAATTACGATGAGCTTCGGTGTTGCTCCTGTGGCTTGCCTTCCACGATGGGGTCCTCGTGCTTCTTTTCATACTTGACTCGAGACGTTGAAAGGGATGGCGTCTAACTGATTCCGGTGGTGTTCTTGCTCTCAGCTTCTTTCTGGGATGTCAGATTTGATGCTTAGTGGTGTAAGTGCCTCCGAATTCTCCAGGTGGCTCTGTAGTTAATGAGCGAAACTACTGACCGGAAAGTTCGTGGTTCAAGTCAAATCCCGCTATCTAAACTGCTTCTGTCTAGGTTTGGGCAACCTGACAGTACCTGAGCCCTCGTGCTTCTTTCGGGTGACATGGCAGTTAGACGTCGAAAGGGTGTTACAGCTGAACAATTATTGTTATTTATTTTTGTTACCAGGGGGTTGCAGGCTGAGACTAGGGTTGACCGGTTGAGGAACCCCACAGTGATAATTTCTGGGGCCGATGTTGCTTCCAGTATACGTGAACGAAATGATAGGTGGCATCGAATATCTTAGTTTTTTGCAGTGGATAAGGGAACTCTGAATGGTGACCCTCACCTTTGGGGTACCCAGAGAACTTCGGTAAATTTCATGCTTGATTCAGCGCTTGGACGCCTTCAGTGAACGCGTCCAAGCATATCCGGAACACTATCTAGGAAAGGTAGTATTGAAGTATATGCATGTCGATTCAAGCCTTAGCTGGATGCATGGTCTTCGCTCAGCTTGCATCTTGGATGATAAACCACGCAGCTACTGAGAGCTGCGGTTACCACATGTTTACCCTAGATGCTCGTGTTCTTTTACGACACCTACTCTGGGGCTCCTTTTCACTGTGGTCTACAGATATGGTGTCTTAACCAGGGGAAGGCGCGGTTTACCAAATTCGGTGCGCTCTGCGAGGAGACCTTTACGAAGATAAACTCAAGTAACTGGACTTGTTTTATTCGCTAACGCTGGCGTCTTTACGCACAGAGTGGTCTACAACTGGAACAGGGTGCTAACTATGGTAGTCTCAGCCAAAGCGGTGAAGGACTTGGTCTCAACTTTTAAGGTCATTTTCCTGGTTGCCCAAGTTGACTACGGGAGACAGCTCCTCAAACTGTTGCTCCACGTCTTCTTCATTCTGGCTAGCCTTCTCCTAAGTGTATCTATCTTTCACCTTCTCCTTTGTCTTCACCGTTAGTTTTCATCTTTCTGTCGTCTTATCGACATAGTTAACGTTGGACTGGCCTACTACAGGTGCAGCCAGCAGGGTGAGGGATCTGAGTGTTTTGTAGTAGGGAAAGACTATTTTCGTGCGTTGTTTGAGACTGCACTGAACCCCTCCCATCCGTATAGTTATCCTGGACAGTATTGGTTAGAACAGTGGATACTGCTTCGTCGTAGTCCGTAGAACTGTAATAGCTCATTGGTGTACTGACTGCATCGATAATGACTATATTTGTTTTGTGTAGCACACTCTGACAGTAACTATAGTTTTGGTCGACATGTCTGTTCTGTGGGATCCGAAGTGATCAAAAACTGAACGCGAGCCCAATAAATTTGAAAGATTTTTCATCATTCTCCTCCAAAGCTCAGTTTCGGTCACTCTCCCGTCATTTTTTATCCCATGTTTACGGTACACTACCCCACCTGGGTATGTAACTCAATTTACGTTCCACTTCTTTTATGGTAATGATCGTAACTTATCATAGAAACTAGGAGTTATTTATAGGCGTAACACACTACTCATAAGGTTTCTGAAAGCTCTTCGACAGCCCACGAATGGTTGCTATTTATTTCATACTAGTTTAATGTATTTTGAAGAGGAACTAAAGTGAACCCTTTCAAATGAATTCTACAACACGCTACTGTTACATTGTTTGGCTTATTCCATTGGGATTTGATGCTTGGTGATCGCGGGTGTAAATCCTATCGGCCTTTCGCTCAGAAAGTGGTCGAAGGTTTCAACGAGACAACCGAACTGCGCTGTTTTAGTCTGTTCTGAAAACTCAGCACACTATCTAGATAATTTGAATTCACAGTGTGAGACCGAACACTGTTATTCACTAGTAGAGGATGATGTCTTTGCCTCTCTGTTCTTCGTGAAAGCCCAATGATTCAATATCTATAGAGGTCGATGCCCAGGGTTCCGATAACTCCACACACTGTCGCATCGGTCAAGTTGATTTCACATTTGTTTCCAATCCATGGTGAGTCAGCGCATGAACAAATTGCGGTCTAGGTTTCGACACGTGTGGCAAGCAGTAGACAAGGTCGGATGAACCAAAGGGATTTCAAAAAAAACTTTGTCCCCAGTCTTATCTCCGCTACTGACCTATCCTCCCCACCGAAGTTGTATGAACATCAAGGATGACGAGGCTTTTGGCTTGGCCATTGTTTAGGTTTCAGCTCCAGGTATCGTGTTTATAGCTTTACATTGCATGACTGCTTTATCTCAGTCTAATATCTCTCCAGTTTGGCGTCGCCTTTGTGCTGAAAACCAATAATGTAACCCACTAGAAGAATGAAATTAATACAAACGCCAATCAAGAATGAAATATCGCAGGTCAGAGGAGACTTTTTGCTATGTAGACGTGTAAACATTTCCCCTCTCTACAAGTAACCTCTTCTTATGGTAAAAACTTTCCATCTGCTACTGGGTTTCGGTCTACGTGATTAGATCGGATTAGGTAAATTTGATTACATTCATTCGTGCAAGAGGCCACCGAAGGAAAATGAAACAGTATTGTCACATGACTGCACTGATTCAGCTTATGATAGGTGGTGGATTTGTGTGGATGTCTTTCAAGGGGTGCCAGTGGTGTTTGTGACGACAGTCCCTATCCAGAGTGTCGGAGGTGCGGCATCTCAGGTGTTCGTGGTGTTTGGTCTTTCCCAGTACTCCTTCAAATAAACTGGCATAGGGCACACAATAATGATGTTGTTGGTGATTTTTAAATTCTACTTCTACCATGTTTCAGACGTTGAAATTTTTCGGACATTCCTCGTAAGGGAATATAAAAAAATCGTCCAGCTGTAGCACCCTTTTGGTGCCTAACTGCCATGCCACCCGAAGGTTGCATGAGGGCTGGGATACTGCCAGGTTACCCAGGCTTAGACAGGGGAAGCCGAGAGGCAGAGGTCAGGTTCGAACCACGGACATTTCGGTCAGTAAATTCGCGCTCTAACCAATTGGGCCATCTCGTCCCCTGAGGGAATATGAGGTGAGTTAGATTATCTGTTTGCTTTCCGCACAAATCGCACTAGCACTTCGTTTCTGATGTTGGTAGGCAAGCGAAAAAGCGAGTGACTAAGTATACAGTTAAGCCAGGTTAAGCGAAGTCATGTGAAGTAGATCGACGAATCAAGAAAAATAGGGAAACGAATTCAGTTTGGCCTACCGAAAGTGTTCTCACTTTAAGAATTTCCCTACAACCAATCGTTACTTTTATCCTTTTTTGCCACGGTTTTCCATCCTCATTTTTTTCGGAATCTCAGACGATTCACCGTCACGGTGGTTTTTATAAGCTCATAAACTTCTCTCTGTTTTACGGCAATACTCACTAAGATGACGAACATCGTAAACAAGGAATTCAGCTAGGTTCCAGCTGACTCTGTGTTGAAAACCAAATTGATATGCGGATGAGTCGAATCTGGGTTCAAGGAGAACATAAGGTTGACGGAAACTCGGGGACTTTGTCCACCTGATGAGCCTCAAGAAGGGCGAAACCGGTGGTGGGGTGTCGAGGCGATTTGAGCAACCATATAAGTAGTGTATTACGTTAATACTTATTGGACTTATACCCAGATTACTGAATACAGATTCAGTTGGCTTTCAGAGTTAGACAAAAAATTAACTGTTGACTGACTGTTAACGTCTGTTGGGTAGGTACCTGTGGCTGCTCAAGTCTTTGTGACACTACCTAAACGACAGACCATTATCCATCTTTCGAAATCTAGGTAGCTCGGGTGTTTACTGGTGATTTGTCAGTTGGTAGTTGACCTATTCGCGGAGCTTGTCAATTGGTTTGCAAACGTTTCGCCTTCGAGGAGGCATCGTCAGTGCGCAGTTGAATGGGCACTCAAGCCAGTTGTCAAGCTCGGCGAACAGATCAACTACCATCTGATAAACCACCGATAGGCACTATTGCGAATGAAGTGTCCTCGTTGATCCTCTGTCCGGTCTGGATGACGACGAGTGCCTCTGTCAGTCATGGACTTAGCCATAGTAAAATTTATTAGTATTTTCAGGTTCCCAACGGACTTATCTGTAGAATTCTCATGGGGATTAGGAACACCTCGCTGACAAAGGAGATGTAGACGAGACGAGTCTCCACTATCTTCGACTCAGGCAGGCACGATATACGCCCTGTCTTCAATACTGGAAGTGTCCATCGACAGGGTTAGCTAATTGTAAGAACTACCGTAGTTGACTAAACTGAATGCTTCATCTGGCGATGTGGACAATAAATACACATCACGGGTAAAACCAACTTAAACTCTGCGTATGTTTTGTGTTCAACAGCCCCGAGGGATCTGAAAACACTTGTAACAGATAACTACGATAACTACGGTCCAAGCGTGCCACTGAATATAACTTGAATATTGCGCAACACCTGTAATTCTTTTGAACTCAGAGGTATCTGCCTGGTTAATTGCGGGGTCAGTAGATTCGCCTGATAT